AATAAATAAAATAAATCTGTGCTTCAGTATCAAAATACCATGAGGTCTCTGAATTAAATATTTTACTTTGGCCAAGTAGAGCCATATTTTTCATTTAAAGCTTCTGTTTTTGAGAGAGAGAAAAAAATCCAATTTGGATGCCCTAAAATAAGTATCTTTTGAGATTTTTTTTGGCAGATATTCTTGACTACTCAAATCTGTGCAGCTCTCCTTGTTAGTTGAATGTAGCCCTTGATGGGAAATTGACAAGGACAAGCACTCAGATGTAGAGCAGCCTGCTTATTTTCACCTTTTGGGAAAGAATAAATATTAACTGAAGAAAGTCCAGTAGGGAATTATGTAAGTATTTACTGGTGCTTACATTTTAACTGAAAAAATGAGTTCTCCCTATAGAGAATAAATTCCACAAGTCCTTTTAAGAGATTGAGTTCTTTATGTAGGTGGATCATACTGCATGGTGGTACTTCTCCAATGTGTTGGGAGAATTTATTTTCATCTCAGGACATAACAATTCATGGATAGGCCCTAAACACAACTTCAAAGCAGGTCTCTCTTGTACCATGACAATTGAAGTGTCTTTTTCCTGTGCCTTAACTCCTTTCCTCAGAAGCACAATCTCTACATGCTTCCCCCGGCACGACCACAAATCCCAGTGTTTGCCGTCTACCAAAGAACCAGAAGCAAAAGCATTCCCACGTCCCACTATGGAATTAACAGTGGAAGGCAGAAAAAGTAGGATGGGAAGCAGTTCTAGCTGGTCGGAATAAGAGTGATAGACACTAGGGAAGTGATTCTCTGTAGAGGTTGACTATGAAGGGATTTTGAGAGGCAGTGGCTCAGTTGATATGGAGTAAAGGGAAAAGCAGAGATGGCCAGATACAATGAGAGTATGGTAAAAAAAAATGATTTTTTTGGCAATACGTTTCCCCATTTTTGACCAACTATGTACAACACACCTTCTTCAAGCTTGCACTCATTCAAGTTTTGAATCTCTCTCTGGTTTTATGGCAAATTACCTTGGGAACCTCTTCACACTGTGTGATCATGGCTTCCCATGACAGCTTCAGTTAAACTCACGTATACATGATACAGAACTTTGTCAGTGACAAGCAACAAGTGCAGAGCTCCCTTGCCCAACCAGTCAGGATGACTGTTAACCTCAATGCCTCCAGAACCAAACCATAGGCTGGTTTCACCAAGGCAGTCCAAATAAAGCACAAATGTTTGAATAAGGTTCCACATCCCTTTCCTCTGGGAAAAGAAGATACCAAAGGCTCAAAGTAATAAAAAATGCTTAGAAACAGAGACTTTCCCACTTTCTGCAAGCTAAGGGGGGAGAGGACAGAGACATCATCCCCTCTTTCCCCAGCACATCCATGGGTGGGCAGCCATAAAGCTCTTGTCTGAAGGTAAAGGATTATTTGTGCAACAAGCAGTAACTAATGCCCTAGGGAAATTGTTTCAGGCACACAGACAAAAGCCCTGAGGCAGCTTTATGGAGAGAAAACACACGTTACACTCTCAGACACAGCAGAGCAAGGCCCACTGTGAGCATGGCATCACCTGACAAAGAGAGGTGTAGTTGCTAAATAAAAACATAATACTGTATAACTGCCAAGTTCTCTTCTGACTCTTGCTAACTTGTCTCTCCATTTGTTTACTCAGCCCTCATGAAAATTTAAAATGAAAAACACTTTATATGGATTTCATAATCTCAAGCATCAAATCCAGTGGCTTCTATCTGAGACATTCATTGCAAAGTGCATTTCCACAGCTGTCACAGCTTTTTAAGTTGGTAGCTTTATCAGAATGTCAATACAGTACACAAACATTTTCAACAACAAAACCATAGAGTCTGAACAATCAAAAAACCAAGTTCTCTGTGGTGACTGGACGATAGTGGTTAAACATTATCACCAGGTATGTAAGTGCTAAGCACTGTAAGAGTTGAATACACTATGGCATCCTAAAAAGGACCTTTGTTTGTAACCATGTTATACAGATGACAAGTTCTACTTTTGAATTACTATGCTTACAGGACTATTTTCCATACGTTGCAACTCTTCCTTTCGGAACGTAGAACGTGTATGAAAAGTGTTGATACCGAACATAAATATTTTCAACCCTTTGAATGGTTTTCTAAAAGATCTTATTTTCCATTTTCTAAAGTGCTAGATGTATTTAACACATGTCTGTACTCAATTTATATATATATATCTATATAAGGCCTCAATTTAATAGACATCTGTTAACACACTTTATGAATTATTCTTACAAAACATACTGATGTGGTTAAGTCACACACTCCACAAATTCATGAGCATGTTAGAAAACAGAATGTGCAGTATGTAAAAATCATTAAAATAAATGATTAATGTACATAGGTCCCATACAAATACTGAAATATGGAAACTTTTATATCTATAAAATATAGTGAATTTGTAAAAGTAAAGCCTTGTGATAACAAACTTAGCCTCTACATTAAAATTTTGATAAGTTTATTTTAATGATATTTGATTTTTCATGACTAATAATATATGAAATACTTTGCTCATGATTAAGGAAACATTTTTTCTATAGCCAACACTAACTGGGTAACTTATTTCATGAAGTAATTAATCAATAACTAATTTTTAACTTCATTAAAAATGCTCAATTCTTCAGAGCTGATTTCAGTGTCTGTGTCTTTCTGCAGCTGAGCATGTGTGTGTGTGTGTGGGTGTGTGTGTGTGTGCGCGCGCAGGGCAGTGTAAGGGAACCCAGACTGCTGAAACTGGTCGGCTCAGTGGTACCACAGGTGGCAACTCGGAATGGGGGGGGAGCAACCCGTCACAGTGATATATCTTGATTTAATAAGGCTTTTGACAGTCTTAGATGACATTCTCATAAACTAGGGAAATGTGGTCTAGATGAAATTACTATCAAGTGGGTGCAAAACTGATTGAAAGAGCATACTCCAGAAGTTTGCTGTAAAACTAAGGAAACATATCAAATGGGGTCCTGCAGGGGTCTGTCCTGGTTCCAGTACTATTCAATATTTTTGTAAATGATTTGGATAATGGAGTGGAGAGTATGTTTATAAAATCTGTAGATGACACCAACCTGGGAAAGGTGGTTAGCACTTTGGGAGAAAGCATTAGAATTCAAAATGACCTTAACAGATTGGAGAATTGGTCTGAATCCAACAAGATGAAATTCAATAAAGATAGGTGTGATATACTATGATTGTGAAGAAAAAAAATCAAATGTACAAATACTAAATGAGGAATAACTGCCTATGTGGCAGTACTGCAGAAAAAGATCTGGTGGTTATAGTGGATCATAAACTAAGTGAGTCAACAATGTGATGCAGCTGCAAAAAAGACTAGTATAATTCTGGGGTACATTAACAGGAGCATCATGCATAAGATACGGGAAGTAACAGAGGACAAATTGGAGAGAGTCCAGAGGAGAGCAACAATAATGATAAAAGGTTTAAAAAACTTTACCTATGAGGAAAGGTTAAAAAATGGGCAAGTTTAGTCTTGAGAAAAGAAGACTAATAGAGGAATTGATAAAAGACTTCAAAATATATTAAGAACTGTTCTAAAGAGGACTGTGATCAATTGTTCTCCATGTCCACTGAAGGTAGGAGAAGTACTAATAGGCTGAAGTCTGCAGCAAGGGAGATTTAGATAAGATATTAGGAAAATCTTTCTAACTATAAGGATAGTTAAGCACCGGAGTAGGCTTCCAAGGAAGATTGTGGAATCCCCATTATTGGAGGTTTTCAAGAAAAGGTTGGACAAACACCTGTCACGGGTGGTCTAGGTACAACTGATACTGTCTCAGCACAGTGCGGTGGACTAAATGTCCTCTGCTCAATATTTCTATCATTATTGTAGGGCTGCTGGCCTGTTTCCCCAGCCCAAGAAGGATTAAACACCACACCCAGATCTCTTTCAGGCCCTTGCCCTTACCTCAGGGCAGGGATTATTAATTCAAACAAAAAATGCCCATAGTAACTCAAAACAGGGCTGTCCCTTGACCAACACAGGCCACACAGACCTTTCATTCTGTGCTGCTCTCTGCTCCAGAGCCAGTCACAGGATCCAACCTCTGTCCTGCAGCAATCCTTCCAAGTGAGTTCTGTCAACCCTTAATAGGCATCACCTGATCCCTTTCCAGTTTAAGAGGACAGACCACCATGTTACAATTACCAAATCCTAAGGCCCAGACAATACTGACATAACTACACTATTTATTTTTTAAAACCATATACTATTGTTTTGTTTACTTTTAGTCTATATGACAACACAATGATTCCCTCACCCCATATTATCTTCAGATTTGACAGCTTCATTCTCTGTACTTAAACTGAAATTGTGTGTTTAAACAGAAGGCTGAAATAAAATCAGGAAAATGATACCATGAATGGATGAATATCCTATATATTTATGGAGATCTCTACAGATTTATGTTTTCCAGTACCCTAAATAATTATCTAGGCAGGTACAATTAGACTATCCCAGAATCATTAGCAAAACTGCTCAATAGTAAAAGGGTCTGTATACCAAGATATTGATAAGAAGAAAACAAAAATCAGCAGAGAACCATAACATCTCTCACTTACACTGCAATTTTTATGTAAGCTAAGTGAGATATTCATCTTATTTTAGTCAAACAACTGCCTAATGTAGATAAAATAAAATACTTATTTGACACTACATATTTTCATAAAACTCCTATTGACATATATGTGGGCCTTAGAATAATATTTTCTTCTTGCATTCTTGGAACTAAAAATGATTGCTCAGATCATCCAGTGAAACTTGCTACTTGTTAATAAGAAATATTGAATAAGTGTATCAGCATTATAATACCATTTTTGAAGATTAAATAAAACTTCCATCTAGAAAAGAACTGAAGTGGAAAACTTTTTAAAATAGTTAAAACTTCAGTAGAACAGATTCAAATACATTTCTCTGTGTAAGTGATAAAAATGTTATTAAAAAGCTCACCTTGACTATCCCACGGATATGCATTTTTGCTATCATCTCTGCAGTGTAGAGAAACATCAATAAAGTATCTAGAGCAAATGTCAAATATTGAAGAGGTGGATAATGCTCAAAGGTCTTTGGGGTGTTCATACAAACAGAAATGACACTGATGATGGCGCAGATGCGTAGCAAAGAATGAACCCACTGAAAAATGAAGGGTTACAACTTAGTTTTGATCTTACAAAATAGAGTACGTATATGATGTCTATAACTCATCTTGACATCATTTCATACAAGTTTTTTCAAATGTTATGGTCCAGATTTTTATGATCTCCCCCTCCCACCCCCCCAAAAAAACACAGGCATTTCAGATTCTATCTTAAAAAACAATATACAATAAGTGATTTTGCTCATTAGGGGGTCCCGTAATCTAATGGACTAAGCACTGTTTCAACCTCTGTGTATTGAGGAATGTATGTCAATAATATTACATTTTATGTTTCTGTAATTAATCTTTGATTTTGTTACAACAGCCAATGGTGATATTCTATTAAAATTAGTATGAGTAATTAATGAATGAGTGTTCTCTTGTGAATGATTTCAGTGCTAAAACACTGAAACACAGCTGAAAAGCTCTAGCATACATACTGCAAATGAGATGACAGTTGTCTAACATAAAAGGAATACTAATGCACCAATGTTATATATTAATTTATTTCAGATTATTTATCTTCCCAAGGATATGGGGACAGTTTTTGAAGTGGATTAAAATGACTGACCTAAACAGCATTCTTACATCAACAGGATCTGAGAGATCAACACTTTCCAAATATTAACCATCCTCCTCAACAGTAAAAGACCCTCCTCTCTCAAGATTGTTTTTGTGACCTCATTTTATAAATTTGGCTTGCAATTTAAATCAAGCAGTGCTGGCAATCAAAGCTAGCTGAAAAGTGTGTGTGTGGGGGGGGTAAAAATCCACGAATAAATTACTTGACAATTATTGTTTCATCATCCTCAACACTCTCCAACAACTGATGGAAAAAGTATTGAATAAAAATTGGAAATGTTACCTGATTGACTGTCAACTGTAACCATTTCACTACTTCTGACTAATATTTACTTGTTTCAGGATCTTTCTTAAGTTTAATGGAAGTGATTATTTTAACTGTAAAATGTAATATTTAACTTGTAATTGGTAATTAGTAAGAAATAAACTTACTGGCTTGTTAATCCACAGGATATCTGCACTGTCTGACAAAGATTCATCAGGGCCAAAGTCTGTAACAGGCTGAGCTTCCACACGTGAGCTTTGTTTCCGTTTGAGCATCCTGAAGTTAACTTTGGTTATCTATAACAGTGAAGCCCCCTTGGAAAGAAAAGAAACAAATTTATTAAACAACCTGTTCAAAAAACCCTGTTTGAACAGCTTTGTTAAACAGAAAATACTTGTCACTAGGCCAGTCTGCTATTGTATAAAACACTGAAAGTGAATCACCTCAGATGGTTTTACACAGAAATAGGCAACTATAATAATTTTAAAAATCCTAGCAGGGCAAATAGACAATTACAGTACTAGTTTTGCTCCCATATGCAAGGAAGAATATTGGTCCATGCATAGGCTTAAACCAAAGTCTGATGGGGATTGATCTGACTCCTATTGAAGTTAATGCCGACGCTCCCATTGACTTCACTGGAGCAGCAGGATCAAGCCCTATGAGTAGCAGACTAGCAGGGGGAGTTAATTGGCTGAGACAGATGTTCCCATTCCTTATTGGGCTGATAAAAAGAGCCTTATTACTATTGTTCTTCTATAATTCTAGATTTGTTTAATCTTTCTTTTTGTATATACAATTTTCTACTCACCTGTCAGCCAGTCACTGAGTTCATTCCTGTCCATGTGTATGGACAGATGTAGGCATTGGGGAGGGTCTCCCCCTTGTGCAAGGTTAGGGACAAGCAGAAGCCCCCCGCTTAGAAGAGCACAGAGACTGGCTCCTTTGAACATCTCAGGGATGTGAAACACCTTCGGTGGGTTGGGAAGTGGGGAAAAGGGGCTGGACCATAGCCCTGACTTTCCCACATACCCTACACGGTGGCCCACAGGCCTTGATGAATACAAAGAGAGGTGCTAGCTGTGCCATCCCAAGGGAGAGTATAACCTGAACAACCGGGAGCTCAGGGAAGGAACTGTGCCTTCCTCAAACACAATCCCTCTTGGATATCCCCAGAAGCTGGACGGTGCAATCCAGTGCCTGAACCATGACATGCGGTTTGTACAGAATGATCGTATGTTCCAACATACATTCTGGCTAGCAGGCACCATATAGCATGGTAATGAGCACAGTATAAATACTTGCTAGATTTGATTGGCAAGCTGAGGTGAGTTCCAAGTCCATGTAAATATCTGCACATGTGGGACCATACAGCCACATCAACAACCAGTTCATTACTCCACATCCAAATATTATTTATCAAACAAGGGTAATATAAAAACAAATACGAAGGGCTAGCTTCTGCCAGCCTTATTCATGTTGAATGGGTAGCATTGGCATGGGTGAGGCTGACAGAACCTATCACTAAAAATATTATAACCTTAAACACTTTAAGTTTATTTTTGTAGTAAAGACCACTATATGTCTACATGAGGTGGTAGTTTTACGTTCCCTTAAGCTTCCTCTCTCCCTTTCTCACTTCCATTTCCTTCCTATCCCTTATTCTTCTTTTCCTTCCTCTCCTTACATACCATCTTGTTCATGCTTGCTTTGCATCCTTCCTGATCCTGCCTTTTCATAATTATTTCCCAGCTCACTATGTTTAAAATACAATGGGGAATTCCCCCAAAGTTAGAGACTGTCTTGACAGGTTTTGATGTCATGTGGCATTGCAGCATCTCATGGTGCATACATGTAGCACAACAATGAGAAATGTAATTGAAAGGGTGTCATAGTATCTTTAGAAATGCCTGTACTGTGAGAGAATATACTATCAAAGGGCTTGAGTCTACAGTGCTTGTTAATGCAAAACTCCCATTGAGTGTAATGGAGTTATCAGCAGAAACTGCAAAAATTTTCCAATCCTTCCGCAGAAGAAAAACCCACATTATGAAAATATATCCACATTATGAAAATATATCTCGCTAATGTGGCCTTTAGTAACTTGTTATTTAAATTCTAAACTTGTAATTATGATTTTATTAATAATGTTAACCCTTCCCAGCAATGACTGAGATACTGATCTTGCTAACCTGTCAAGAAAATAATTATAATAGATTGTCAGACCAGAGTCAATAAGGTCATTAGGAGATAATACTCAGGAAATACAATGCATTAACCAGGGAGCTACTATTGAAATCATTTCATAAATGCTAAAGGACAAGCTGTGTATCTTTTAAAGCAGAAGGTAAATTAATTATAGCTAGTTAAAAATAAAACTTTAACAGATTTCTTCATTCAACATAGTATGAATAAGTAGAAAGATTGGCAGTATTTTATAACAAAATTTTTATCTGTCTGGTTGTCCACTGATTATTTTCCCTACTAAACTGATTTGAACATATAAAGGTCATGAACTGTAGATGTCAACAATGGTTTTAGTTCATCAAGCTCACCAAGTGGTGGCCAAATGTCATGACCAAACAGATCACGCATATTATTTTTAAACTGTGGTCACAAATCAACAAAGCAGAGAATACAGAAATCCAGAGGGGAAAAAAATCTACAAAATACAAGTTCTCCTATTTCACAATTTGAATGAGCCTGAATGTCCTTGGGAGAGACACCAATAATCTGGAAATGGCCTTTAGCAAGTCCTGGCAGAGCTCTTACAATTCTTCTGTTTTTATTTATTTATTTTTGCTGGAACCAGAGAGGTTTTTGTTTGTTTGTTTGTTTGTTTGTTTGTTTGTTTGTTTGTTTGAAAGCAGGTAAAGACTGGGGCAGCCTGCACTCTCGGCTGCACATCAGGATGCTAGAGCAGGAATTGTGGCTCCTGCAGCATCATCTTTCTGCAGCTCTCTCTGGCATAGTTCCACACCACAGCCAAGGGAGGGTAGATTCTAACATACACAATCTGATGCTTTCTTTGGGCACATAGTGAAATTAGCATGGAAGACTTAATCCAGACCCAAGCGAATACTTCTGTCTCCAAAGCTTGTACAAATATTGGATGTGGGTGTATTCTGGAGTAAAAAATGGGTTTAATAAGGAAAAGATTGCTTCCTTTGGCTGTGTCCATTCATGTAGCTTTGTTTTTTCTCTTTCGAGTAACACCAAAAATCAAAATTCACAGCACTTATGCAGACTGCTACTGCTTCTTATGTAGGAATGTGCTCTTTCATCTTTGCTTTTAATTTTAAATATGTCTTTTGCTTTGTTATTTTATTTTTAGAAGCAAAGACACAAAATGAAAGAATGCTGCTTAGACAAGGAGCCCATCAGCTCATCCTTTTGTTCATTCACTCTCCCTGAGCCAGTAGATATGTTCAATCAAAGACAATTAAAATCACAGAAAGATTATCCTGATACCATCTTGGAACAAAAAGTTCAAGACAATAGGCTTGATTCATCACCATTATACCAGATTTACAAAGTCTGCTGAAATGGAGTTACCAGCTGCATGCCAATGTGAACAAAGATGGTTAGAGCCAGGCCCCATAAAACATTTGTTGTGAATTTGCAATACATATAGTATTCTGCTCCAGCAATCTTTGTAACAAAAATAAATGCGCTCCTATGGAACACTAATAGAGAATGAAGGTGTAGGTGATCATTGATAAATAGAACATTTCTTTTTGGTTTCATTTTTAATTCTGTCTGACTTATATTGAGAGTTAAAAAACAGGCCAAAAAAACCCATCATGATTTTGATATTTTAGCCCAAGTTCTATAAAATTTACTCTCCTTAAAAAAAAACCCTAATCTGCTGTAGGAGGAAAATCTTCAACAGAGGACAGCACTTCACATCACACTGTCAGTAATACCAATAACTGTAAAGATTATTTATGCTAGTTCTACATGTTCTGTTAACTATGTAAAGGGGAAGAGGGCATACCATGAGTTACTGATGAGAGAAATATACCACTGTGGCTGATGAAACCAGGTGACAGCTAGTTTTGAAGAAAATGTGTTGTTAGTTTTTTTAAATACCTCCATGGAATACTTTATTGGCGACTACCCTGTTTTTTTCATCTGAAGCAAAGTCTAAAAAACCCCTTATCTTTTCTTCCTTATTTTTCAACACAGCATGTTGTTAAGTATGTTAAGTGTTCATATTGTTAAGTATTCGGTTTTGTACTGAAGCCAGACAGGGTCCCCTCTCCCAACAAGACAAAGTTTGCTTTTCCCTCCTCTTTCACAATAAAGGAAATACCACAACCAAAGCTCCTAAAATCACAATTAGATTAATGCTTAGCAGATCGTTTGGCTACCAGCTGCAAAGAATAGTCGGTGATGTCTTGTATCTTCTAGCAGGGCTTCAGGACTCGTAGGCCAAATAGCAAGAATCAACACCACCCTTCTCAGATTTGGGGAGGAATTCCTCTGCTATAATAACATAATTCTCCAAAGTACTATGTGACATTGCACTCCATATGTTTTATAGAAATATGTTTATAAGTGTGAATATAATGTAACTGGAATATGCTTTATGCAAAAGGTCTCTTGTAAGGTATCATTACAGAGCTTATAATCTACTGAGTGTGTTCATCCTATTTGTATGAATGTATCATTCTTGTATCTGAAGCTAGAAATATAAAGTATTACTCTGAAGTCCTATTGTAACTATGCAAAGTGTGGACCATTAATGGTGGTTTAGAATCTTGATGGCTCCCATTAACCAGGACAATTGGTTGTAAATGGCTCTGTTTACTTGTAAGCTTTCCTGTGTTCATGTGAGTCAGGCCAGAATGAATGGACACTTGGGGTCTCACAGGACTTGTGACCATGTCACCTGATACTAAGAACAGCAGTACTTGGGGCACCTTAGAGACTAACAAATTTATTAGAGCATAAGCTTTCATGGGCTACAGCCCACTTCTTCAGATGCATATAGAATGGAACATATATTGAGGAGATATATATACACACATACAGAGAGCATGAACAGGTGGGAATTGTCTTACCAACTCTGAGAGGCCAATTAAGTAAGAGAAAAAAAACTTTTGAAGTGATAATCAAGATAGCCCAGTACAGACAGTTTGATAAGAAGTGTGAGAATACCTGGTACTGGAATTCATCTTAAACCTGGTGCTTTTCCATTTAGAAGGCGGGGTGGGGACACAGAGAGACAAAAGATTCACGCCTTCTGCCAAAGCTATAAAAGGGGGTGGAACAGAACAAAGGGGACTGCAGTCATGAGAAAACCCCTAGT